ATTTTATATCACTAAACTCTTATTATAAAATTTCAAAAGTTGTTACATAAAAGAAAGCACCTGCACTTATACTCATATAAATACTCATATGAAATTTTTCTGATCCGCATAATTTCCATCCAATACCTATTCCTATAATATTCATAATAGCTAAAATAATAACCATTATAGTAGTTACTTTTAAATCAATATTAGCTTTTTTAAACTAATTTCCTAAAGTTAATCCTTCAATCCATTTGTGAGAAAGCACAGCTCCGAAAATTACTATACATTTTATCCAATCTTTTTCAAGTCCAATAGCTAATCCTTCAAATATAGCATTTAATCCTAATATTATTTATAATAAATAGGGTTTTAAGCTATTTTTAGATTTTTTTATTTTTATTTCTTTGATTATATTTTCTTGTTAATAACTATATTTCGAGATACTTAATTATTAAGAGTTTTCTTCCTTATTTTATAAAATTGCAGTACTTGTATGTTTTTTTTCTTATTCAATATTTTAATCTATTTTTAATTACTAAGAAAAAATTTCTTATTTTTCAGTTTTTATATCAATTAATTAATTGTCAATTACAAATTTTTATTTATTAGTATCACTAATTATTTATTTTATTTCATTTATTTATTGGTTATTATAATTTTTTTATATATTTTCATTAATTGAACTTCTCTTTTATAATTAATCTATATTTATATAATCTCCATTTATATTGTATCCTGTAATAACTTTATCTATAAGGAGCATTAATGAAAAAGTTACAATTATTGTAAAAAATGCCCACGGAAATTATTTAACATGTACATTATCAGTTATATATACAGGTGAATATCTTGCAAAATCTGTATTATATACAAAATCATAAATATCATCCAATTCTTATTATTCTATCAATTTTTACTCTTCACTTTTTTCATCACTATCTATTTCTTTAAAATTTAAATTAAAATCTTCTATCAATTCCTAATACATTTAATCTAATTCCATTTTATATTCAGGAGTTTTTGATTAATTTATATTATATTCATGCTATAAATATAGTAATCTTTCGAAGTAATAGTAATTTAAATATTCATAGGCTTCAGGTATTAAATAAAATATTCCAATTGATAAATATAAACCTCCGGTAAATGCAGATGTTATGGACATTAATCGAGTATTTTCCTTATATGTTTTAACTCTTAAAGGTATGTTTCCAGTTAATAATACCATTAAAAATATTGAGAAAATAGATATTAGCTTTATAAACCAATATTTCATTTTACTTTAAATTTTAATTTTTAAAAAAGTTATAAAAAAAAATAATATACAAATTTTTATATTAACTATATAATTTATAATAATTTTATATTGATATAATTTTAATAAGATTTTATAGGGTTAAAATTGTTTAATAAATTTATATTTTAAATATATTAATTCAAATATAAAAAATTATAAATATATATATATATATATATATATATATATATATTTATATTAAATATTTAATAAATATGTGAAAATAAATTATTTAATTATTTTTGATTTTTTAATAAAAATATAATATAAAATAAATTTATCATATATAATCAATTATTTGGTTTTAATATCGTAAAAATAAAAAAAAATTAAATGTATTAACAATAATATATAAATATAAAATAATTAAATGAATATGAAAAAAGTATATATAAAAAAAATATATGATAATAAACAAATAATTTTAATTATAAAAAAAATATATAATATAATAATAAATATAAATTTATATATATATAAATATAATTTATTTTTAAATATCTATGTTTAAAAATTTATATTAATATAATTTTAATGTTTAATTATATATATAAGTTACATATTTTTTTATATTAATTATTTGTTTTAGAAATATATTAAAATCAATTAGAATTATATAAATTTAAATTCCATAAAAAAAAAATATATATATATATATATATGTATATATATAATTAAAAAAATTTATAATATTAATTTTTATTTTTATTTTTTTTTAAATTATTTTTATATATTTTTTTAAAAATTGTTAATAATATTCAATAATTTTTATTGTTTATTATCTATATATTTACAAATCTAAATTATTTTTTAATTTAAATATTTTATTAAATGATTCAATAATATAAATATTTATTAATTTAATTTATTTTTATATTAGTATAATTTTATTTAAATAAATAAACTCATACATAATTAAATTAATATATTATAAAATTATTTTCTAAAATATTTATATATATATATTTTGTTTATTTTATTAAATATATTCATAATAATATTTTTATATATTTAATAAAAAAAAATTTTCTGATTAAAATTAAAAAAAAATTACAATAATTATGTATTTATTTATTTATTTTTTAAATATTCTTAAATAAAATAAATAAAATATATTTTTAATTTATATAAAAAAAATTACCTCAATTTAATATTTTTTTTCATATAAAATAAATATTTATTTTCAAACAAATAAATAATTAATTAATAAAAATTTTAATTTTTTATAATTTATTTATATAATTTATATGATTATTAATATTTATATATTTTTATATTTATTTATTTTTATATTTATATTTATATTATTTATACATTTATATGATTAATAAAAAATAATCAAATTTCAAAAATATTTATTTTATAATAATTTATTTTTAAAAATAGTTCCAATGTATCAATATATTAGATTATCAAACCACTTTTACTTATATTTATATAATTATTATTTTTAAAACTTAATATATATGAAATATATTTTTATTTTTATTTTTTTATTTTAATTTTAGATATTTTTTATTTATAATTCAGACTCATATAGTTTAATCATATTTTTATTTTTTTTATTAATTTTAATATAATACTCTTGCGAATGTTTTTCATTTATATATACTACCAAATTAGCTTTAATTAATAAAAGTATATATGATAAACTTAACATATTATAAAATATTGGCAATGATAATATTTATTTTTTATCCCAATAATTTTATATATATATATATATATATATATGCGATTATATAGGTATTTTTAAATGACACTATTTTTTAAAATTTATACTTATATATTAGATAATATATGATTTTATTCATTTTATATAAATAAACTGTTTAAATTTGATATAAAGAATTACATATTCTAGAATAATCTTTAAAGAATTTATTCGTAAAATATATTTTTCATAATAAATAATTATCAAAAGTGTGAAAATTATATAATTTTTTAGTATATAATTAAAATAAATTTGTCATATAAATTTATATTATTTTTTTATTTTATAAGTTAAAATAAAAGATTTTTTATTTAATTTATTTTAAAAAAAATATTTATACTATAATAAATATTTTATATTTATACAAACATTATTTTATTTTTTTTTAAATAAATTTTAAGATTTTTTTAATTAAAAAAACAAAAATGTTTATATAAAAAAATAAAATAAAAACATAAATATATAAAAAATTAATAATTAATAACTAAAAAAATAATGTATAAAAAAAATATTTTTTTTTCTTTATATTTATATATATTAAAGAAAATAAGAAAATTAATTAATTATTTAAATATAAAATAGGAAAAATATATTAAAATTAATTTTAAAAAATAATTAAAAAATTACAAAAAAAAATATTTAAATATATAAATATATATATATATATATATATATATATATATATTTATATATATATATTTATTTATATTTTAAATATATCTTTTTATTATATATTTTTTTTATCTAAGTTATTAATATTTTTTTTAACTTTAATTTTTAAAAATTAATTTAATATAAAAATTATTAAATAATATATAATTATTATTTTAAAAATTCAACGTTCATGCTCTATAAATTATTCTAAAAACCAAAAACTGCTTACTAATCCTATTGCTATAATAAAAATTAAAAATTTTTAAAATCTATATTTCATATCACTAAATTCTTATTATATAATTACAAAAGTTGTTACATAAAAGAATGCCCCTGCACTTATACTCATATAAATACTCATATGCAATTTTTCTGAACCGCTTAAACTCCATCCAATACCTATTCCTATAATATTCATAATAGCTAAAATAATAACCATTATAGTAGTTACTTTTAAATCAATATTAGCTTTTTTAAACTAATTTCCTAAAGTTAATCCTTCAATCCATTTGTGAGAAAGCACAGCTCCGAAAATTACTATACATTTTATCCAATCATTTTCAAGTCCAATAGCCAA